GAATATCATTGATGAAAACGATCACGAAATTGAGAAGGAATGGCCGGCAGACTCGATTCATGAGGTCCATAAATGCAGCGGGGGCATTTGTTAGACCGAAGGGCATCACAACAAATTCGTAATGACCGTAGCGAGTTGGGAAAGCAGTCTTAGGAATGTCCTCATCTCGGACTTTGAGTTGATGATAACCGGATCTCAGATCTATCTTCGAAAAGTAACTAGCCCCTTGAATCCGGTCAAATAGATCATCGATTCGTGGAAGTGGATAACGGTTTTTGATGTGAGCTTATTCAGTTCCCTATAGTCAATGCACATCCTGAAGGATCCGTCTTTCTTTTTAACGAAAAGAACTGGAGCTCCCCATGGAGAGAAGCTTGGTCTTATGAATCCTTTATCCAGGAGTTCTCTCAGTTGGCTTGATAATGCTTGCATTTCAGTGGGAGCCAACCTATAGGGTGATTTGGCGATCGGAGTGGCTCCAGGCACGAGATCGATTCGAAATTCGACTTGCCTTTCTGGGGGTATTCCTGGAAGATCTTCAGGAAATACATCTGGAAAGTCGCACGCCACTGGGATGTTATGAAGGTTTATTTCTTCCTTGGTGTTATCTACGACGTGAGCAACACATGCGTAGTTCTTCTTATGTAGACACTTTTGTGCCTTGATACACGAGATAAGGCGAAGATTTGTTTCGGGTTTATCTCCATAGATTATTAGGGTTTCGTGATTGGGAAGATGAAGGCGAACGGCCTTCTCGTGACACACCATATCAGCATGATGGGGGCTCAACCAATCCATGCCAATTATCACATCAAAACTCCTAACATTTACAGGCATCAAATCTATTTGGAAAGAGTGGTTGTCTAGTGTTAATGTGCATCCTATATAGATATCTTTAGTTGATTCATTCTTTCCATTAGCCATTTCCACCGTGAAGGTTTCATTGAGCTTCTGGGGTCGTTGATTTAGTAAACGTTTAAACTTGTTACTAACGAAACTTTGCTCTGCTCCACTATCGAATAAGATGCATGCATATGTGTTGTTAAGTAGAACGTACCGGTGACAACGGTAGGGTCCTGGACTGCTTCACCTTGTCCCAAGGTCAAAAGTCTTCCCGATCCCCCAGCTCCTTGATTGTTAACATTGGGGAAATTACGCCTGAAATGTCCGGTTCTCCCACATCCGTAACAGATATGATTGGCCCCAGCATTGGTGTTGTTGTTGTTGTTGTTATGGTTGTTGTTGTTGTTGTTGTTGTTGTTGGGCGTCTGGTTCTGTTGAAGCTGAGTCCTACAGTACTTTGTTGTATGGCCTTTCCGATTTCACCTTGTGCAAATCATCTCTTTGCATTCCCCATGATGATGGAAGTTGCATTTGTTACATTTGGGGAGATTTCCTGAGTACTGCTTTGGAGCATTCGGCGTAGATGAGGCTGGAGCATGTGGTGTGGTGGTAGCTTGAGTTGCAGCATGGATAGTCACAGTTTGTTATTTCTTTGATGATTCAGGGTTTTGCTTTCCCTTCCGCTTGTTGTTTTTCCCTTTCTTGTTCTCGTTCTCCTTATTGCCTTCGATTTCTCCTACTTTGTCTCCCTTCTTGTTATGATGATCATACAGTTTATTGGTCAGTCTCTTGGCACTATCAAAGGTTTCCGGATTCGCTGCTATCACGTTTCCTTGGATTGGAGAGGTCAATCCCCAGATGAACCTTTCAATCTTCTTTCCCTCAGAAGTAATCATTCCTGGGCACAATAGAGACAACTCACTAAACCTGGATATGTAGGCATCGATGTTGGAGTTTCGAACTGTGAGATTCCATAGTTCTTGCTCCATCTTCTGGACTTCTCCACATGAGCAATATTCAGCCATCAACATTTCTTTCAACTCCGCCCACGGCATAGCATTGGCTACGGGGAGCGTCATGGCTTCCACATGTCCGTTCCACCAGGAAAGAACTTGATCAACAAATGTGCAGGCTGCAAACTTGACCTTGCACTCTTCTGGACATCCGCATATTTCAAAGACTGATTCAACCTTCTCGATCCATCTTTTCAGGGTTATTACGCCTCCCGTTCAGTTAAAGGTTCGCGGTTTGGCGTTGGTGAAGTCTTTGTAAGTACAGGCCTTGGTAGGCCCTTGATTCATTCCTTGATTGGAACTTCCAGTTCCATTCGTATTGCCTCCACCGTTGTTTCCGTTGTGGATGTGAGTCAGAGATGTTGCAACTGCAGCTGAGACTGCTGCTTGGAATGCAGCGGAGTTCATCTCCGGTGTAGGTGGGGGCGGTGGTGGCGGTGATGCTGCATTATTGTTTACTGGTGGGTTCCTTCGAGGCATCTTTTGTCATAGAACAGAGAGATGATGAGTGAATAACGTATATTAGGTTTAGAGTACTACTATCTCGGTGATTTGATTTGTGCATGTAGTTGACCTCATAATTTAACATGAAACAAAGAAATAAATCACATAGCAGATAACAACATCACGATAAAACACGTAATATTTCCACTAGTAATATCCGTTTTAGTACATGAAAATTTTGCCTTAAAGGCATACAGTACATAGGACAAAGTGTAAAATTTGACAGCATGACGACCATATGAATAGTGTAATCACTTAAACATATGGTCGGTAGTACATAAAGTAGCATACATAAAAAGGAAAATCATGAAGATACTAGTAGGTGAGGAAGCGGATCCTAGTCGCGACGAGATGCGTCAGGAGGTGGTGCTGAAAAGGTGGATGCACCCTGAAGTCGAGCCACCTGTTGCTCGGTGTCTCGTAGTCGAGCCTCCCACATCTCGTGTCTCATGTGAAAATCCTTGATAACCTCCTGTGTTTCCTGCTCCGCTCTCGCAACCGTAGCTCGCATTTGGTGCATTTGGTCAGCAGTGTTCTGAGCCAAATTACCAGTATCCTTCAATCGTCTTATCATGACCGGAAGTGCTCTATCAGCTGGCCCTCCATCCCTCCGGTCATAGAATTCTCTCGCCATACCAAACGGGGGTTGTTGTCCCTGCTGTCTGCTCCACCTCCAAATATCGACACCCCATTGAGGTGTAGGGCCGTTAGGGCCCATTCGGTGAGCTGGAACTCTCACTGGGAATGGTGGATTGATGACTATGGACTCCGCGTCCGAATCACCATTGCTGTCGTCAGTAGACTCTTCTCCTCCAGAATCTGCCACGGGTTCTGCAGGTCCACCTTTGATTTCTTCTTCCTGTTCTTCCTCTTCTTCTGGGTCTTCTTCAGGTTCCTCTTCTGGTTCTTCCAGCCACCCGTTATTTCCCTGAGTGGGAAAATAAGGATCCCCGGGGTGGTGAAAACCAGCCATAATGTCTGCACGAGGGGTGTAATACGTTGTAAAAAGAAATCACGTATGCATATAGTATTTCCAAAATACTCCTATAGTATTTTAATTATTTAAGTTTGAATTCCCGAGAAGTTTTGGATATGAGGTAAGTTTCAAAGTCAATTTCCTGTCATGATTATCCCCAAACACATGTTGGTCATATGTTGAATAAATATAGTTGATCAGGCTATATTTACCCCCAGTATGACTACATAACTGCCCGGGTTTAATCACAACGGCAAATTCCTCCAGAAACTTATATTGGTTATTTTTATGATGGTTCTCTAAAATGCACAGATAAGTGTGTATTTTATTTATTTTGTTTAGAGTTATTTAGCCTCATTGTGTTTATAGTTGCATATCATGTATGGTTAGATATGTCAGTTCACTATAAACAATGTTCTGATACCAACCTGTCACATCCCCGAACCAGACGGCGGAAACGTCCGAGGGCTCGTGTGACTTAAATTGAAATATCATCACAATGATTATACATGAAACATAACATAAAATCACCATGCATTACAAAATACAACCGTCATTGTTCACATCAAGTACATTGTTTAACATTACATATTCCAAAACATAAATTGTACTATGATTGACATTTGCATAAAAGAAATTCCAAAATACTCTCGATGATTCTTCAACTTACCGATTACCTGAGAATACAAGTTATTTTGAAAACGGTCAACATATATAATGTTGGTGAGTTCATAATCATGTTTGATTGAAAGATTTTGTATTGTTCGTGTAACCCAGAAAATCCGATATTTTCTGTAAATTCTCTGAAAATGTTGTAATGATCAAGTATAAATGTATGTGTGATTTCCATTGTAAAAACATGTATAAGTAAGCGATCCAAAATTTTCCTTGTATTATTTTTGTTGTAACTAGAAGATAATTAATAATAGTATTTCCCCATAAAATTCGATATTTTCTGATTTATAAAAATGTTGTGGTCCTTGCACTATCGTATGATTTGTTTTGTATCAATATTTCGGTGTATACGTAATTTTAAAAGAAATGTCATTCACTTAACGGTCAAATGTTAACGGAATTAGCGAAAAAAATCATTTGTTAAAAGTTTTGAAACCACAGAAACCATCTGTGAGGTTTTTTTGAAATTAGGGACTAAACTTAATGTTTTCGAAAACACAGTGACCATTTTTTAAGTTTTGTCTTATCTTTTTCCCTTTGTTTCATCGAACCAAATTTTTTGACTTGGTCATTATCCGAGCTTATCTATGTTCGTGGATACCAAACACTATCATGAGTGGGATTGTTCAGTTCCTTCCACGTACCAATAGCTAACGAGGACGATGTGCCACTGATGATAAGTTTACACTCTAAGTTGCATTTCGGTGTATACGTTATTTTGACCCAAAAAAATGAAGCCAAGTATATAAAGAAATACAAAATAAGGAATCCACCAGTAAATGTTATTTTTCTACGAAAAATCATTCGTGTGATTAACAACTTCATTGATTCCACACCACATTTTTTGAACGGATTGGAAGCCCAAATCCTAAAATCACAAACTACTAACCATTCATAAACGGTGATATAAGAAACAGATTGATAGAAAACAATTTTTTCATTAAATGAAACAAGAAGGATCATCAACCAACAGTTGAATTCCAACAAATACATCATCATCATCTCACAAACTACACCTTAAAAACAAACCCTAGAACTCAAATAAAACATCAAAACCATAAACCATTATAATAGTAGAAGTACTGGTATTAGTCCTACTCTAACAATCCAAGAAGTCTACAAATTTACAGAATCTCTCACGCAAACACCCATCTCACTTCTTGGCCTTCTTTGCAGCGGTTTTCTTTACTGCAACTTTCTTCACCGGCGACTTGATACTTTTCGCTTTCTTCGCTGGAGTGGCTTTCTTGACAGCCTTCTTAGCTTTAACAGGTGTCTTCGACTTTGCCTTTGGCTTCGGTTTCACTGAAGCGACGGCTTTCACTTTAGGGGCTGCGGCCTTCTTCGCCACCGGAGCTTTCTTAACAGCGACCTTTTTAGCGGCGGCTGGAGCTTTCTTCACGGTAGGCTTCTTCTCAACAGCCCCAAGCTTAAACGAGCTCTTTACCTTGGTAAGCTTTCCAGATGCAGCAAGTTTCTTCAACTGAACAGACATAAGCTTTTTGAAATTCGCCGGCAAATCCTTGTTGTTGTCCTCGATATGTTTCGCGATGGCGTACTGGCTAGACCCAGTCCTCTCCTTCAACGCCACAATCGCTTCCTTGATCATCTGAACAAAATCAGAGAAACCCATTAAATCTCAACACATGTATAAATCGCTGGAAACATTAGGATTAAGAGTTGAAACAGATTATGAGAAAATATCAATTACCTCTGCGTAAGTAGGGTGGGTCTTGGGCTTTGTTGAAGACGGAGCCTTCTTTGCAACTGCTGCTTTTGTTGATGCCATTGCTTTACGCTTCTGTATTTGAGAGAGAGAGAAATCGTTGTAGATATGAATATTTTCGAAATGCAGGAAATGGGTATTTAAATAGCGGGTGGGTTGAAGAAGACGATTTCTGATTGGTGGAGAGGTATTCACGCGGATCGATTTTAAAAATCAACCGCCAATTTCAAACCCTTAGATTAAAATGAATGAGCGGTCAATTTGAAAGATTTAGCTTGCGCGCGGATTGCCAAATGGGGTAATGGTTTGTGAAATGTTAAAAAGATGGAAGTGTGTTTTTATATTGGATTTTAAGGGTATACATTATGAAGTATAAAATCCAAAAATCATATGTGACTATTACGTATATACGTATATTTTAATGTGAAATTATTACAAAAAAAATGTTTTTATACGAATGTAAGAACATATAGATATATCCATTTTGTCTTCAATACATTCAAACAGTCAACGATAAAAAAATAAAATGAATCTATTATACGAAATGTGACATTAAACTTCCTTATAATAGATAATACAAGTTCATTATAAATCATACAACCCTTGTTTTATAGCATTATAAGACCTTTTTACACAAATACGTAAAGTCGAATACCTATAAGTATGTCCACATCATTGGTGTGTTAGTAAACCATGATAGTATGCAATAATATATTCAAAGTCGTTTAAACATTGATAGAAATTGTCAAGTATATAGTGTATATAGACTACGAATATATAACATCGATGATGTCTTAGAGAAATGATTGTTTTGATATGCAACACACCTATGTTATTTTTTCTCCTCTATAATGATATGACACCTTAGACACAACATGGTACAATTCAATTCAGTTATAAGTTCATATGAGATCTTGAGATTATGTATCTAAGGATATCTAAACTGACTAAACATATCACATGGGTGCCTTCATAGGACCATATATGCCCTTAGATACATTATTATGGGGCATGCATCTCAAAGCATCATCGTCGCATGAGTTGTCAATTCCATCAATTAAGCTTATTAAATTGCAGGTCAAACTACGTGTGAGGTTTAACAATTAATTGTTAAACATTAATAATAGTTATTCATAAACACAATTTGTTCGCATATATGGTAGGGATCATCTTTAACATGAGAAATATGAAATCTCTCATTGATAGATTATTTTGATGGGTTATAACAAATCCAACAACTACCAAAATGATATATCAAACTTTTAACATGATTAATGACTTATAGTCATGAACACTGAGATGTAATTCATATATATTATAAAGTATGGGCTATATTAATCTTCTTCCTGTACTATAGCAATGCTAGAAGGAGTAAGAAGTTCTTTTAGAAATAATACAAACATGGAAATCTATACGCATTTAGCAATACTTGTTGTTAAATGCTTTAATCACACTCATATCGATGACTGTGAACAAACATTTTATCATGTAACTATGATTAAATCAACAAGTATTATTTACCATGACTACATATTATGATTATGATATATGGTAACTATGTAAGACACTTTGCCTTCACATCACCCCATTGTATCAGACAAAGAGTCATGAGAAGATACCAAGAGCAAGTGACATCGTGCGGTCAGAACATACATTTTCATAACGTTACCCGTTGATGAGAATGACGAAGGAGCTACTTTGCATTGAGATGATGATTCAATATGAGACACATGCTTGAGAAATAAGAGGATACTATGGATAAACATTAGAAAAAAAAACATGTAATGTATGCTTCTTTGGTAAATACCATTTACTAGGAATGATAAATAACTTATTTTTGAAATTTTTGAAAGCAATAGAAGAAAATAAGGACTTACTTTTGGAGTTGTGTAAATCAAAAAGAAAGAGTGCCCAAGTTCATCATCAGAGTTGAGTACAAAACGTTCTTCACCTTCTTTCACTTCTTCACCAGACCCAATCCCTTTCGTAATTGTCTTGGATACTAGTGTCATTGGACCTCCAGAATTCATTTTGTTATCTTCTGTTATCTCCTTCACTTCCGACACACGTGCTTTCAGCATTTTATAGAGATTCGACAAGGAGCATCTATCGAAATTCTCTCGAGTCTTGATCATGAGATAAATATTTATCCATTCCATTCTCAACCCCAAAACGAATGTAAGATGGAACTCCAAGGTGGTACAAACAACTCCATATATGTTGCACTTAAAGATATGCTCATTCAACCTATCGTAATACGCTTCGATAGTCTCATTATCCTTTTGCTTAAAACCGGCCAATTCTCACAAGCATTGCATTATAGAGCTCTTTTTCGGTTCTCTCATTCTCTTGGTACTTCCCCTTCAAAGTATCCCAACTATCCTTCGTTGTCTTGCAACCTCGAACATAGTTGTAAACAACAAGTGGAAAAGCTCCTCGTAGTTCACGGAGGCATCTTTTTCCATTCGCCTTCTTCTTGTTGCCTTGAGCGATCATGTCTTTAGCAGCACCAACATTACCAATAGCTTGAACCAAATCAACATGATACAATCTTGTTTCAATAGATCCCCAGAGATCCTCATTGATCCCGTTGAGATTGTATTCCATATGATCTGCCTATTGATTGTAGTACTCGGGGATCAACATTGGAACTTTGGTAGCAGATGATAGCAAGTTTGCGAAATTCATCAAGGTGTTGACGTTGAGATTTGTCATCAGATTATGTAGAAAGAGGATTTTCTTTGAAAAGAAATGAATCGAATGCTAAGTTGATTGACAAAACAAACACATAATCGATTAATCACAATCGATCAAATGAAGAATTATGTTTCAATCTTGCGGAATAATTGAATCGAAAATATCGATTCAATAAGATGAAAACATGAAAAAGATTATTCTATCGATGTGTAGATTCATTTTATGATACCGACTGAAATGATGTTTTGATTTATGTTTTAATCAATCGATATTAAATTAGAGTAAAGAACAAGATGATCTAAATAAGACCTGGTTTCAACTCAAATATATTCCGGAATGAGTACATAGAAAGTTTATGCATACAAGCGTGTAAAATATGTTATGACTCTGTACAGTACTTACCTTATTTATAGGGTACTCACGGAAGCTAAAAATAATAGGACTCAACATTACATTGTGAATCAATAAAGTGCCTAGTAAATACATTACATAACGAATTCTTGTGGATACTCATTATTTACAAACTATTTGATATCGAGATAACTACCTATTCGACATATCATAACAAAACATGACTCAACAAAAACACATGGTCTGACGTGAATGTGAATGCATGACTGTAAAACAATTTGAACATATGTGATGGTAATATCTTTTGAAAATATATGATGTTAAATAACCGGGTACCCGCTCCCGAAACCGAAACAGTCGGTTCCGTGACTGGTTCCAAAAATTTAAGAACTGCCGATTCCGATGAAATGAGAAGAGTACCAACCTATGCTCATCCCTGTTAGAAAGATCACATTTATATTATTAATCGTTGAAAGTAATGGACAATAATATTTATTGTACGTCTTTTTAGCATCGATAATAAATTGATAATTTAGGGATTGGGAGTTGTCCTTATGGAGAGAGGTCATGTGATTGCTTATGCCTCGAGGCAACTGAAACCTCATGAGGCGAACTACCCACACATGATTTGGAATTGAGGGTAGTGGTGTTTGCCCTCAAATTTTGGAGGCGCTACTTGTACGGGGTCCGATACACCTTCTACACCGATTATAAGAATTTGAAGTATTTGATGGACCAGCCGAACTTGAATATGCGGCAACAAAGGTGGTTAGATGCGGTGAAAGACTATGATTGTGGGATTTTGTACCATACTAAGAAGGCCAATGTGGTGGCCGATGCTTTGAGCCGTAAGGCGGTGTGCTCATCGATCCGAGACATTTGTCTAAGGATGACTCTTACTTCCCCTTTGAATGATTGAAAAAGGAAAATGGAAAATGGGAAGAACGAGTAGATAAGAGGGCAAATTCCTTTGTTTGTTAGAGACAGTCGGGGTTATTAACTCAGTGTGGTAGGTCTGGGTTCCGACATCATGTGGGGTGAGACAGACGATTATGGAGGAGGCGCATAAATTGAAGTTTTCTATCCACCTAGGGGCCATAAATATATACCGAGGTCCGAGGTTGAGTACTTGGTCGCCCTGTATGAAAAGTGAGGTTGCTTGGTTTGTTGAGCGGTGTTTGACTTGTAGGTAGGTCAAACTCGAACATCAGATACCTCACAGAAAGGTGCAGCCGTTACCCATCCTTATGTGGAAATGGGAGGAGATCACTATGGATTTCATCACCAAATTGCCCAGGACGACGTGGAATGTTGATTAGATTTGGGTTATTGTGGACAGGATGACCAAAAGTGCACATTTTATTCTGATTGCCGAGAGTATATCTGCAGAAAAGTTAGCGGATATCTATGTTTGGGAGGTGGTAGCCAGGCACGGGGTGCCGATATTTGTGGTATCGGACCGCGATGTTCGTTTCACCTCCAGATTTTGGAGGAAGTTCCATGAGGAGTTAGGCACTCAATTGAATTTCAGTACAACATACCACCCCCAGACCAACTACCAAAGTGAGTGTACGATCCATACGCTCGAGGATATGTTTAGGGCTTGTGTGCTAGATTTTGGAGGGAGTTGGGATACTTACCTTCCACTTGCAAAGTTTTCCTACAACAACAGCTATCATGATAGTATTGATCGACCTCCATTCGATATGTTGTATGGAAGGAGGTGTAGGAACCCGGTTTGTTGGGGAGAGGTCAGACATTGGGTCATGGGAAGCACTGAGGTAGTGCTTAAGATCACTGAGTTGATTCAGCTGGTACGCAACAGGTTGCGGGTCGCGCAGAGTCATCAGAAGAGTTATGCTGGCCGACGTCATTTGGATCTTGAGTTCCAGGTGGTGGACCTTGTGTTGCTGATGGTGTCACCTTAGAAAGGTGTCATCCGATTTCAGAATAGGGGAAAGGTGGGTCCTCGATTTACTGGTCCATTCAGAATTTCTACTCGTGTTGGCAGGGTGCATACATGCTGAATCTTCCTGATGAGCTCGGTTAAATCCATAACACTTTCCAC